TATCCGGGGCACTCGGGTGGCTCCTAACCGTCTCAATGTGTTTTTGTTTGACCGATTTCGAGGGAATTCTAACCTCCCCTACCGGTCTTCCCGCAGCCCAGATCTTCCTCAATGCCGGTGGGAAACGAGGTGGCACAGTTATGTGGGCATTTGCCATTTTGGTCCAATTCTTCACAGGCTGTTCAGCTATGTTAGCAGATACGAGAATGGCCTATGCCTTTGCGCGAGACGATGCGCTTCCATTTTCAAAGTAGGATTTTCTTACCTTTGCACCCGATTGAAACTCCGCACTGATACATTATAGGTACCTTTCCAAGGTCAATCCTCGGACTCATACCCCGGTCAATGCAGTGTGGTTCGTGGTTTTCTTCAGCGTAGGCTTGAACTGCATCGCTATCGGCTCCACGCAAACGGCAACCGCAATATTCAACATCACTGCCCCTGCACTAGACATCTCTTACGTGTCTGTCATTCTCGCCCACCAGCTCTATAAATCGAAGGTCAAATTCATCGAGGGCCCTTTTACGCTGGGCAGATGGGGTACTTCTATTAACTATATTGCTGTTGTCTGGGTCTTGTTCATCAGTACAATTCTTTTCTTCCCGCCACAGCTTCCTGTGACACCCGCAAATATGTAAGGCGCTTGAACCCGGTTTATATTCAGGTATGAAAAGGTATACTAACATGACTCTACCTAGGAATTACGCCATCTGTGTTGGCGGCTTTATTGCCGCTTTTGCTTTGATATGGTGGTGGGTTGCGGCTCGAGGGTAAGAAACATCTAAAATTAACTTATACTTCCAGCATCATTCAGGTGGATACTGACATGGCCTCCTTTATTTCTGCAGAAAGTACACTGGTCCTCAAACTAATGATATCATACGAGAAATTCCCACCGAGGACGATGGCGACGATTCCGAAGAGTCAGGCGAGATCACTGTTTAGATGACATATTCATTCCTTACGCACAACGACAACTTGCGAGTTCAGTTTTCTAGATTATGGATTAGATATATATTATGTTCATGTTTGTTTGAAGTTTTAGGCATTTTAGAAATGGGTCATGTTGGTTTCGGGTTAAATTGTGTGTCGATGATAATGTTGTTTTTGAATATAATACTACCTGTGACATTGACTTGAGCAAACCAGTAGAAGAAAACCTGTTTGATTATGAATATCTTGATTTCGGAAGAAAGAAGTGGCTATGAATGCTTTGTTGACCATGAAGTTATACACCGGAAAAAGATAGAAATACATGTCACGTGTAGTCTTAGCTGCCTGCAACAACAGCCAGGCCCTCGTAGATTTTCCTTTTGACAGCAAGGAAGCTCCCTATTCCACGACCACCAGGCCGAGCTAGTGAAGACTGTGCCGTTGCTTCGATTTCAATCTTGCCCGTTCCAGATTTGCGCACAGCTACGGACTTGTCAATGAGAAGCGTTCCCTCGCCTCGGAACTCGGCTGTGTGACCAGCGGATTGCATCAGCTTGCGAAGATCAGCCAATCGCAGGTCACCGACATGAAGAGGGCGAGCCATAGACCTGGTTCCCGCGGCCATGCTAGCTGGGAGAGTGTCAAGTAAAGGATAGACTTCTACCTTCTCGATTATTTTGGTGTCTGCTTGTTCCAATGTCGGGGCGACGGCGGAAGAGGCTGCTTCGTCCTTCAGCTGCTTCACCTTCTTGCCTGATGTTTCGGCTTCCCCGATCTCAGCAGGCTCTGGCCCTCTCAACTGTGCCATGAGAGCAACGACGCCGAGGCTGCGGACGTGTTGCCAATTCAAGCGTCGAACGAGCGTGTTGCTCAGCTTGACCATCCAGGCATTTGTATCAACACTTGCATCGATGACTTCGCCGTTCGCAGGAGTGAAGATAATGGCAGCCGAGTCAAACGCAGGGTCAGAAACCGTGGCGCCGACCTTGACTGTCAGCAGTTTCTGGCATTCGGCTGCCAATGCTGACGTCTCTTCTTTCATGCTACCAACCAGGATCAATTTTTGAGGTTGGATCAGTGGAATTAACATCTCCAAGCTGCGCTTGTCGTGCAAGCCCATGAAGTCGATATATGCAATCCTAGCGTTGATAGTGATGGTCTGGGTATGGTAAACAACCTTCGCAGGACCTTCGAAGGACTGGCCTTCTACTTCGTCCTCGGACTCTGCAGCTACATCGGCGTCTTCGTCATCAGAGGCAAGGCTGAGATCATCATCTTCAATCTTCTTGCCATCAATGTGAGGACGCTTCCGTCCTTCTGCACCGCCAGACAACTTGCGTCCATTGGGGCCGGCTGCATCATCCCATCGTCGTTTTTGGCCCAGCTTAGTCTCGGCGTCGGTACGCCGTTGTTGCATATCAATCTCTTCACGTTCTTCGGCTCGGAGATACTCTTCTGGACGAATGAATTCTCCATATTCGTCTCCCTTCTTTCTTGGTGCCACGTAAGGAAACATGCGCTCGCGGCCCTTCTTGCCACGAACGTCGTAATCATAAACGTTCTTTCGACGAAGAAGGATGTTGATGCCCAAGTCTTCGTCACTGACGGCAAGTTTGCTTCGAGTAGCGTGTGCAAGTGAGGCCGAAAAGTTCAGTGCGCGACCTTGCTGTTCAGGATCCGAGTCTTCAGAAGAGGTAGAGCTCGATCCGTCATCTAGAGCATCCGCAGCAGTTTCGAGAGTTTCTTGGCCAAGTGTTTGAGATGTGTCTTCAAGTTGGCGTTTGGTCGCGAGATACTGCTGGTATATTAGATGTTCCCCGGTATCGAGAGGGGCTCGCTGCACATCTGTCCAAGACAATTCTCGTCCACCGCTGTGGACTTGTTCGATGTGTTCGCCGTCTGATGCTTTTTCTAGAGCCACACCATCTCTTCGCTCCTCGTACCACTGCCAAATCATACTTCCAATGGTTGCCGAACTCTGTGATGGTTTCGATTCTTGAGTCGTCATATCCTTGCGGAAGGACTCCGTCAGCAATAACAGATTGTTGGGTCCTTCGGCCACTTGTCGAAGCGCATCCTTTGAGAAGCCCCAGTCCATTGATGTATTGGACGCAAGGATTACCTTAGGTCCAGGCTCTGCCAGGAGCTTCTCAAGACGCTTCTTGCGCTCAATGATCTTGAGATGTTTGAAAGTGAATGGCCCACCCCCTTTGTTAGAGCTCTTGTCCTGTCCCCCCGTCCTTTGCCCGTTCGTGACGTCTGTGCTTTCCGCCGCTTCAAATTCGCGAACAATGTTCTCGTCCATCCACTCCAGCATGCTTCGGGCGAGTCGGATTGTGTTCGTAACCTTTTTGCCAGCCAGATACAACCCGGCCCCTTGAAGAACATCCTCTTTGTCGCCATTCGCGGCATCGCGCCAAGAATGTTCTAGTGCGTAAGCTAGTTCAAGAACCCGCGCACTTGTGTCTGTAGGGATGAGAACTGTTCCACCTTTCGCAAGGCAACTTCGGATCATGTCGAGGAGGAGATCGTCTCGCTTTTTCCGACCTCCCGAAGGTGCCAGCTTATCGCCTCCTGTTGTACTACAGATCAAGGCCGTGGGTTTACGTAACTGTTCAATGACTTCTGTTCCACTGGCACCAGAGCCACCAAACCACGCAGCACCCGCGACCACACTCTCACGAGCTTGGTTCCAATCCATTGCATAGACAATGGATTCCAGCCCATGCTGAATATGCCATATCGTTCCACCGACGGTGTGACCGGCATTGTAGGCTGTGAGAGTGAGCCCGTTCAACGGCGGGGAGAAAGGCGATGGGAGAGGTTGGTGCGGTTGGGAATATTTGAGTGGCTGAATGAGAGAGAAGTATCGAGATATATCCTCCGCTGTCGGCGATTGAAGAAGTATTCGACTTGCGCTGCCAGTGGCCTCGGTGTCTCCGCCTGACACAGTCGCAGATCCTGCTGACGATGCGCCCGGCTCTGAGACAGAAGCCTTCGGTAGAAATGTGGCAGCGAGCGGAGCGGAGGCATAGAGGTCTTGTAGGAGGGTACGACCGAAAGCGATCACAGGATTCGTTGCATAGATTGGGATTTGCGTGAAGAGGGGGAATGTTCGGCAGCAATGGACTAGAGCGCCAATGTGGGCGGGTGTGGCGTGTGTCAAGAGAATGAGAGAAAGCGTAGGAATATGCCTGATTATGGTATTAGCCCATCTGAATTCAAAAACCTTGGAAGGTAACCCAGATCGCATGCTCACTTCTCAAGTTCCGCCAAATCAAGGGTATTAAACTTGTCATCCCAGCCAACATCCACTAGGATTTTGATGCCTCCATCGAGCTCCAAGATAGACTGTTGTGCCTTTGAAGATGACGACTGGGCGCCAAGGAGGGGAGTGAACGTGAACATCTTGAGAATCTGCCGTTACTGACGGCAAACCTAGCAGCGCGATTGTTCTGGACCAGGGATGCGGCGACAGATCAGTCACGATCAATGAGGTAATGCCTCGATGTATTTGGTCAATTCCAAGATTGATCCATTATCCCATATCCCAGGGTGTCAAATCGATCCGACTTTCGCGAACAAAGACGAAAGAGATACCAGGCGACGGGCGAGCTTGTTTGTTCGGTTTGCACGTGACGTCTAGCAATATAAAGCCGAACTATTGTAAAGGTCAAGTCCTTCCCTCGACACCTTTCAAGGGATTTTTTTCAAACTTACATTTCACCTAGCCGTGGATAGTTTGGTATTGTATACTGGCTCCTGGTGTTTATCCGAGTTTCGTGTAATCATGCGTTGCCCTGCGATTATGCCATATTCTACAACCGGGCTTGAACATGCAACTATGTTGGACAATATAAATGCTTCGCTCCAGACTAGTATCGTAAAAATGTAATGCTCACCAGAAGAATGATGAAGGTCAGATAAAAATATGAAAGAAAATAATAAATTTGAAGGAAAGAGGCATAGGCATCCCAAACTCCGATTCTATATAAATCCGATTAAACCACAACACCCATAGAAACAAACTTCACTACCAAACTATGGAGAGAAGGTACACAACAGGTTTATCTAAAGGAAGACCACTGGGCTGAACTGACTGACTGCTCTGCTGCAGATGCTGGTCTTGGCCTCCTTTTACCTCGCCCTTTGCTCCGTCTTTTTGATCTCAAGAGCTTTGTGCGCGCCGCAGGCGTAGGAATTTCCCCAATCTAATAGAATATGGTCAGCATGGCTCCTCAAAAACCTAATCAATGGATTAGGGCACTTACTGGATCCTGCCATTGACCGAAAGGCCGGTTCCTTTCAGCCCAAGGGGGTAGCGTAGCATCGACTTTGGGTTTGATCTCATGGCCCACCAATTCCTCCCCTGCCCAGACTCTGGCTCGGCGAATAGCAATAGGGTCAGGGAAATGCCTCGCCCTCCGTATTGGGTCATTGAGGTATATTCTTGTCTGTTCTAGGAACCTATCTTGCAGATTAGGCGGAATCTCAGGACTAGGTGCGTCCACCTGCGGTCTTGCACCCGCCTGGTTTCCTATGGTTTTCTTCAGTGCCACCGGCGGCCTGTCTGATATTTTATCTGCTGCAGCTGCTCGCATTTCGTCCCGTTTGTCTTGTTCTGCTCGAGCAAATGACATGACTTTATCCACCGTGATCTCAGCCGCTGTTTTCCTTCGAACTGCGGATGGTGATGGTATTGATGGTGACTCCATCCGTATTCGTTTACTTGATTTTGGAGCCCCTATTATTTCAAGTTCTCTTTTTCTCGCCTCTTTCTGTGCGTCTTCCAGTGAGAGCTGTGCTCGGCGCTTTCGCTTTGACGCTTCGCGATGTCCAACTCCGCCTAGCCTCTCAACTTGAACAGAACATTAGCATAATTCACTAGGGTGACAGCTAAACATATTGACTCACAATTTTTTTGCTTCTTCCTATAATACCGTTCAATCTGCTCAGGGCTGAAAAGCCCATCGTGGGATACTGGGGATAGGTTATTCGTCGATTGATCGCTATTATCGTCAGCGGTGTTGACCTTGCTAGGCTCACTGGTCTTGGAAGAAGCGCTGACCTCGCTGTTAGAGCCGGACCCAGACAAGGGGCTATCAGGTGATTGCTCTCGAGAGTCTCGAGCTGAGTGAGGCTCAGTCTGAACGTCATCGCCGTCGCCAAAGATTGAACCGTCTTCCGAGATTGTAACTAGAGCCTATCAGTCAGCGTATTGTCCGAATAAGTCTGTAGTATGCAGCATATAATGTCAAAGTGGTTAATCCTCTTCCCCAGAAACGCGACAACCAGTCGTCTTGGGTATGACTGCTTCTATGTACCGTGCCCCACAGTGTAGTTGACACTCGCATACCTTCCGAAGGGTCTATTGAAAAGGCAAACGAACACGAGAATGAAATTCGAGTCAAACTAAGCACATTTGTACTCACCACATGAAACCTTTTCATCATTTCGAAAAGGCGCAGGGGCTGCCGGTTCCGAATAAGTACCCTCTGGATCTTGCGACTTCCTGGGCTCGGCTGTGTGACTTTCTTCGCTGCCCTGTTTGCCGCCCCGTTCGCTTTCCGGGTCCGGACTGGCAGAGCGCGAGGCAGTCGGCCATTCTTCCGATCTTGGTCGATTGTAGATGGACGCCACGGCATGCGGATGCGGTCGCGCCATGCGATCGTCACGCGGTCGGACTGCCATGCTTGGACGATCATAATTAGGGAAGTAAAAGGCCGCATTACTTGACTTTCGACTGGATTGCTCGGAGGTTCCTGTCGCAAAGTGCCTTGTGATGGGCACTGGCGGCAGAGCTGGGTCAATGGCCACAGCCTTGAGCAAAGGGCCCTGGGCTAGGGAATCATAGATCTGCTCTCGGAGCTCTGTATGGGTGAGAGTATATTCGAGGCACAGGTACGCAAGTTCGTAAAGAGCTGGGTATTCTAGCCCGGTCCAGTTCTTGAAGTCACCTTCTTCAAAGGTCCACTGCAATTCTCCGAAGTCCCTCGTACCACCAGTTCTCCCGGAACTGGCTTTTGAGGCATGTCGTTTGGAAGGGACTTTTATGTTTGCGCTGTTTTCGCTTTGAATGATCACCCAACGAGGCTGTGGTGCAGCGCCTCCAATATAGATGGGTGGTAGAGGTCCGTGATATTCGTCCTCCACACCTTCTGGGACATGAAGTTTCTCCATGTACGCCCAGTCCCCAATTTTTGAAGCTGGGCGTTTGAATGTGGCCCGACCGATTTCCACATTAGGAACCAGAGTCTTAACCTTGCGTCTTTTGGCCTGTGGTTCATAGTTGTCTTCTTCACTTTCTTCGTCCTCGTCTTCGTGATATTGTTTTGTTGAAGCCTTCACGGTAGCTGCGCTAACACTGCTCTTTGTAGCCTTCGCCTTCTTGGCGGTTTTGGTGGCTTTGATGGCCTTGGTCTTCGCAGCAGTTGTACGCTTTGTGCCATTCTTGGTCTTGGCAACCTTTGAGATTTTCGCTGCAGCCTTCTTTGCATCCTTCTCAGCCTTCACTGCAGCTTTCTTCGCGTCATTTACAGCCTTAGCTGCAGCCCTCTCGGCCTCCTTTTCAGCCTTCATCTTGGCGACTTTGGCGGTTTTGACAGCTTTTGCGGCCTTGGAAGGCTTAGCCAGTAGCGGCTGAGCCTTTGGACGAGTACCCGCAGTCGTTGATCGTGTTGCAACCATAATTTGAGTTGGGTGATGGTCTTCAGGTCTGATTTGGTTTGTTAGTTGGAGAATGTAAATTGGTAACGTCGGGACCATACCTATTGTTTGTTGGTGTTGTTACGATAATGATGATTGATCTGATGACAAAAGATTTGAGTCAAGAATATTGTGGTCTTGTTGGTTAAGGGAAAATTTGGATATGTTGACTCTATATTAATAGAAGACAGAGACGAGTCACCATTCGTGCCAATAGACAAAGCACGAGCAGGGACGAAGAAATCTGCAGCTAGTTACCAGCACAAAGAAAACCAAAAATATATTTTCGAGCCCTCTTCTTTGTTGACTGCACCCAGCTTGTTATCAATACGCCGATGGCCTTGACAAAGAGCGCTTCGGGTCAATCCTGATACGAAGTTCCTTTTTTGCAATCGAAAGTAAGTTTAGGTCAGATTATTCAGGGTTGATAACAGCTGTATTGCAACACCTGGACAGGATTATAATTTTTATCACTGTTCGTTGCTGTGTTCATTTCGACACAAAGTTTCGAGGGACTGTAGAAGACCAAAATCAGTTCGTGAGGATGGAATCAAAGGAAGTCAATAGAACAGACCATAAATGTAACCCAGAGAAACCGGGCAGTTCGAAAAAGAAAAAAAAAAGAAAGAGAGAAAGAAACCAAGAGTACTTCGAGGGCGCATAAGAAACAATGAACAAGGACCGGGATCATAGCAGTACCAAAAACAAAATAAACACATCAAAGAGAGCAATTCCCAGAAGATCAGTCCCAGAAACAAAACACCTCGTTTCGGGCTCATAATGTGCTGATCTGATATTGCTGATCATCTCGATAAACTTGCACCCACCATGCTTACTCCAGAGAGGTCCGGATTTTTGTATTTGAAATCCAACGAAGTAATATCGACATGTCTCCCGACAAACTGGGAAATTGGGAATTGCGAAGAGGTGGGCGAGTCAGGGCTTGATTCCAAGCGGGGATACCCAACCAGCCACTTCGACTAGGAAGCAAAGCTGAAAGGCAAGATCGAATCTGGTTCATGTCCAGATTTGGCAATGGCCCGCCTCATTTCCTATGGTGAAAATGCCTCTTAAACAAAGCGACTCGTATTTCCCCATTGCTGGGCCTGACACCAGAACGATACAAAGAGATTTGAGGATGGGTGAGTCCGTGCAAGCATGAAGGAAAAGCGTAATCAGCAACGGCGGATGGAAAAAAATTGCGCAGGCGTGCTAGTCTGCTGTCATTGACCTATCCTGTTTCAGATTATCTCTGCTCGTAGCCAAAACTATTATTAGCGAACGCCTATCACGGGACAAAGGCCATCTCAAAGATCCTGTCATATACACCATCTGAGACAATACCCTAAATTTCGGTCCCTCGGATCGTGCAATGTACGAACGAGTATGTAGAAGAAGGCCGAGGAGCACGAGCTAGAAGTGAATACTGCTAAAATAAAATCATAAACAGAAAATCCTCTCATCATTCAAGTACACTAGGTATATTGGCAGCCCCAAAGATAGTGGGATGGCTGCCTTGTTCGGTCCTTAATTATGTCACGATATGGGCAGACTCATCGAAAGTAATCCCCTTCAAGCGAACTTTTGCGCAATGAAGACCCAGGCAGACTGTCTATTGCCAGTACCTGGGTTCATCGAAAACATGGTAGCGGTGTCCGCGAACTCCCTCGCCGCGGAACAAGGCAGGGAAGCGGCGGCCAACGGGGACCATCTCCTCTGGGATACGCATCTCATTTTCGGGTTCGGGCTCGCCGATGACGAACTTTCCAACCTAGATCACGAAACAGTCAGAAACTAAGCACGCGTAGGAGAAGAAATAAAGAGAGAACATCACTTACCTGGATCTCCGTATCCGTGATGGTATCACGACTAATTCTGGCGTAGCCAGTGCGATGCAGCTTCTTGAAAAGAAGGTACTCGCACCATCTATCCCAGTCGGTAGGGTCAATATCCTTCATTTGGCTGCGCTCGCTCACATAGGTGTTGTAGTTGCCCTCGAGCGGCTTGGTGACGAGGTAACTTAATAGGATCAGGGGACGTGGGGAATCACCCATCAACTTCGACAGATACTCGCTCTGCAAGCGGCGGTCCTCAGGGTCTTCTTCCTGTCCGGAGTGGAACACAACAATATCAACCATCTCGCCGTACATGTCGAGTGTGGCGTGGATTGCAGGTGCCAGCTCACCCACAGGCGAGGGGAGAAGGTGGTGCGTAGAGTTGACAATGGGGAATTTAGACAGCAAGGCAGAGCCCCAGGTGTGCTTGTTTGGACCGGGGCCGAAGTCAGTGTAGTAGCCAAGGTCCTCAGCGATGAACTGAGTAACGTCCTTGTTGCCCATGATGATACGCTGATTGTCGGATTCGAGGAAACCAATGACATCCAGCTCAAGCTCACCGATGACATCGCGCATGCGCCGCTCAGCGGACCACATGTTGTTGTCGAGGCCGAAGTGGACAGTCCAGATACCAGCAGTCACAACCTTGTCTTCCTTGTGATAAGGTGTGTAGTCATTGGTCGGGAAGCGGAGGTAGGCAATAGACACGGAAAGCAGTTGCAGCACAGCAAGAACGTAGATATAGTACGATCGCTGTCTCCTGCTATTGGGGTTGACAGGCTTGTGAGGCTTGCGGGAGCGAGTAGAGTTCGAGGTCGCCGCAGAGAAAACACCCGCACCAATGGACAGCATTGTAGTGGTCATGAGCCAGTCAGTGTGCTCACGAAGGAATGGACCGCCTGGAACGAAGGCATAGGCGACAACCCAAACGTGGAAGAGCAAAAGAACCACATAAACAAGGAAGCCGATGCCGAAAGTGCTCGCAGGAGAGTGAGCAACGCTGGATACAATCAGAACCGGGGCAACGGCCATGGTATAGAACGCAAGAATGAGGGCACCGTAGAATCCAGTCCAGTGGTGGTAGCAAGTAAGAAGAGCAGCACCAATGGAACCGACACCGTAGGCAGTCCAGCTTCCAGCGATTCTGGGATGGAAAATGCCGTACACAAGGCCAGCCCCCATTGCGAAGATCGTCAAAGCACCGTGAGGAGCTGCGATCGGTCCGCGCACTGGGTATCCGTCCCAGACCCATGAGATCATGGTACTGGAATCAGTCAAAAGCGACACAATGGTGAACATCAGACCGCCAAATCCAACACCAGCAAGAATGGACGAGCCCTTCTTGCCACCTGCTGGCAAGTAATCACCGCCGCTCGTGTTTGAACCTCTCTGGGACCTCAAAACCGCGAACAAAGCAATGAAGATTCCAATTTTATTCCAGCCACCATTCTCGGCGTGAACAATTGGCCAAAGGGGGTTGTTGGTCTTGCATGCAAACTTGGCAACTACAGACAAAACCAGACCGATTCCCCAAGCCATGATACGGGCCTCGAGACGAGGAGCGTTGTGCCGTTCGGAAAAGAAGCTGGCGGTCCATGCTGCACACGTAGTAGAAAGAGCGAATCCAGTCACAAAGAGGCGGTTGGCAGGATCCTGGAACTTATATCCGAGAAGACCAACGAGCGAAACCAGGTGAAGAAGGCGGAGGTTCTTCACAGCTGCATATCGCAAAGATGGGATGACGTAGAACAACGGGGATGCGCAGCAAACAATGGCAACCTCGTAACCAGAGATACCCATGTGCCAAAGAGGGAAGTCTATCAATATCAGACAAGTCCATATAGAGAGGAATATGTGTCACTTACACCAGACAAGGACAGGCAGACCAGTCACGATGGTCCAGAAAACAAACTACAGTCCATTGTCAGTAACACAAAAGACCAATGATCGACCGGTATAATTTACCCCATTGTAGACATCCGCGGCGGCATCAATGATCTCGGTCCAGAAGAATCCCTCGCCAAAGGTGTTGCCCACCGGCTTTCCCTTCCTACGTATGTGGTTAATTTCCGGGATGGTTGTAGTTGGTTATGGGATTGTACACACTCTTTCTCCAAGACAGAATCTGCAGTCGTTTCCAATTGCCTAATGAACACAAACTTAGACAATGTCTTTTTTTTTCAAAACCAATATAGCCTTTGGCACTATACATTTGATGCGGGCAGTGTCATTTTGGAAGCCACGGTACATACCCTCTGCTAACACCCTTAACATCCCTCACCACTAGTTCGAAGCACTCAAAGTCAAGAGCTGTGACAGCATCAAAACCGACATCGAACAGGATTAGGGACCATTCAAAGAAGGCATATTTGGTGTAGGCTAAAGGTTTGACTGATTAGCATGCGATAAACCCCAGCTGAATGCTCACGAAGACAAGTACTCACCACCGGGAACCTTGTGGACCTTGTGCTGAATGAAATAGTAAATCAGTGGAACCAAAGTTCCAAAGAACAAACTGGCCAAGATTTTGCGGTACTTGACGGCGCGGCGGTTGTTCGGGCTGAGTGCAAGGCAACCCAGGGTCCACGGCAAGGTGGCCACCAAGTACGAGATCATGAAAATGTCATGCCAGTCGTGATCATCGGTAGATGTAACATAGGTCCAACCACCACATGTCAATGTCCGGAAAATGCCCACGCCGGCAACCAACTTAGGTAAGGTCGAGTTCGGGCGCGAAGTGAGGATGTACCACAGGAAGACAAGCGCGAAGCGAGGACCGGAGGTAATAGCAATGAAGACCTGGAAAAAGGACCGCTCGGGATAACGGTCACCGATGGTCGCAGACACGGAGGGGAACCATTCAATAGGGTAGCCGTAGTGTTCATTCTGGACGATCTTGTGGTAGTGCAAAGCAATGCCGACAATCAACGCGCTGATGAACGCTGCATATGCGAAAACCGTGTGAGTCCATGCAACCCATTTGCCGTTGATCTGCAAAGATATCAAGTCAGTGGCGTTTCTAGATCCGCATCAGATGGCGCTTCAGCACTTACGGCGACCACGGCATCTCCGTCCTTGTATCGGGGAGCCATGGCGGCACAGAGGTAAAGGCAATCTCTGCACCTATATGATTAAAAAAAAAAAGCTAAAATTGAGAAAGAAAAGAGCGTCGGAAAAAGAACGAAAGGAAGAACGGCTTCAACAAGATGCCACGAGCGAACGGCCCCTGAGAGAAATCGGATGAAAACAACGCCCGGATGCCTCGGTGGTTCTGAGCGTCGTTTACGCTAACCCAATGCGGCTAAGCGCACCCTGGGGCTGATCGGTGTTTTTTCAATGCGGGATGCCGACTATTTTTTTTTAACATCTTGAGTGAACAGCAATCATGTCCGCCGCAACAGATAAGGCTCGATTTTTCCTCGAGAAGTCAGTGCCTGAGCTCAAGGAATATGAGCGCAAGAAGATTTTCACCAAGGTAAGCCTGCGAGGCGGAATTCTTCCATTAGAATAACAGCTAATGATAACTAGGATGAAATCTCCTCAATCGTTAGAAAGCGATCTGATTTTGAACACAAGCTCAACGCGCGCGGGGCGCAGCCAGTGGACTTTGTGCGCTATGCTGAATACGAAATGAACCTCGATGTGCTGCGAAAGAAGCGGGTGAAGCGACTTGGAATTCGGTCGGCAGGGTTCAACGGCCAGCGACGCATCTTCTTCGTTCTCGACCGAGCTACACGCAAGTTCCACGGCGATATCAACCTCTGGGTCCAGTATATCGAATATGCTCGCAAACAAAAGGCACACAAGAAGCTTCTCACGATTTTCACCGATGCTCTGCGACTACACCCTACCAGCGCCGACTTATGGGTTTATGCCGCTAAGCACGTCCTCGATGACCACGGAGATATGACACAAGCTCGGAGTTACATGCAGCGCGGTTTACGGTTCTGCAAGAGCGCGAGGGCAATTTGGATTCAATATGCAAAGCTGGAACTGATTTACATCGCAAAGCTGGTCGCTCGCCAACGGATTCTCGGTCTTGATGAGGAGAGCCAGAAGCCCAAGGCCATCCAAGAAGCAGAAATTGACGACACTGATGCCGACATGATTGCGCTCCCATCACTCACAGCCGAGGACATCAACCCGAGCACAGGAGTGGACGGAGAAGTAGACCAGGTTGCGCTGCAAAACCTGAACTCCACGCCCGCTCTGAGCGGTGCTATCCCGCTCGCCATCTTTGATACCGCCACGAAGCATTTCGACCACGATGATCGGTTCGGTCAGGAGTTCTTCGACATGGCTTGGGAATTCGGGGATGTGCCTTGCCTTCGCAAGATTTTGGAACATGTGATTGAGACGATGCAGGCCAACAAGCCTTCCAGCCCACGGACGCAGATTTGCTACATTAAGTTCCCGACCGCTGGAATCCCTTCCACTTCGGCCGAATTCCCGCGGGCGCTTGGTACTTCGCTTGCCCGCCTCAGGGAGTATCCCATGGGCAAGGATCTCGCACACCAAGTGATCAACTGGCTCCAACCCGTCCAGGCAACAAAGGATCTGGATCCTTCGTTGCAGAAGGTTATTGCGGTTACCATCCGCAATGCGGAGCGCGCGGCACAGGAGTAGTATACATATAGCATACCCAAGTATTGTACTTAGCACTTAGGCGTTGATCGGATATTATCAAAATTCAGGGTCCATGGCGAACTTTTCCCTTTACTACCATTTGCATGATCATTATCAATCATCGTATTTGCTTCCCCGGCGACTGCTTTTCTTGTCGCTGTGCTGTTTCTTGTCTTTAATCCGACCCTCATTTTGAGCCCTCTGCCTGTGTTTTCCTTTTGTCAGATGTGCTCGATCGCTTCCATGAAAAAAGTGCACGTACAATTTTTGCACGCGATTTCTTTGCTCTTGGGATGTTTCCCCGGGGATCACCTCCTTAGCCGAGCTCTGCAATAGCTGATAGAGCTTGTCAAAGCAGGATTCCACGTTGCTAGACTGTTTCCGCTCCTCGTCCGACTGGATAATTAGACATTGGGCTCTTTCGGCGGCATATCGGGAAGTGCGTAGTGGACGGTGTATCAGACGGGGAACCAAGGGCAGCAAGGCGTCCAATGGGACTTTCAAGGTGGCCTTGGAGTTGACCCTATTTCCCTCATCTCCCAATTAGCATCAATCCAGTACTGGTATTGCTGTACAAGTGGGGACACTGACTTGTTCACATTTTGCCCGCCCGGCCCGCTGGACCGACTGAAAGAGAGCTCGCAGATGTTGCGGGGGATGGTCTTGGAATTGAGGGTTTTAAGCCAATCCCTGGCTAGTTGTACATCCTGTTCGGCTTGAGATGCAAACCTTCTCAAGGGTAGTGCCCGAAGGCAGGGTATACGCCATTGGCAATACATGAGAGAGGCAGTCCGTGGCCCCGGGGAGAGGTGGAGTGTCTACCCTTGGAAAACGAACGGCTGTTTCTCGCCTGGTCTAGCCCCGCTTAGCGCTTTAGCGTACGTAACAAAAGCTTTTATTTTGACTGGGATGATGATTTAGATTGATTAGAGTAATTGGAGTAGTTGGAGTGGTTGGTTGGAATGGATGATGTAGTGATATGTATATGTGATGTAGTATAGCTACATTAAAGTACATCCCATTCCTATACTCCATACAAAATTCCTATGGAATATCCTCCTTCTTATCAGAATCTAAATCAATTAAAACAAGATCCATTAACTTGCCCTCGTGATACTAGAATAGACATCCCAAATACAGAAGCCCAACGCCTCCGGTTGCTCACCTGACCTACATTTTTTTCCATATTTCCACTTCGCACCTCTAGAAACCCCACCTATTCCCTATTCCTTCTTCATCGCCTATTTTTTCTTTCTTTCTACTCTTCCCCTTTCCCTTCTGGGTGAGGTTTGTGAAATACGACCCATCTTTTTCCCATCGCCCCACCTTAGCTTGCGATTGCGAAAATTCCTAGGACCCTCTTATTCACCCATCTCGCCCCGACACTTCCTCTCCGTAGATGAAACCACCACTTTCTCGAAGTCTACATGACGCCCAGTCCCCCCGATGAAGCGCTTCACTTTCGCGGAAAGACTCTGACCCCGGAAAGCCCTCGACCCCTACACATCCCAGAGCCATCCAATATCCCAGTTTTAGAGAACCAAATGGACCCCGTCTTCAACGATACCTCCACCTATGAACGCTCGGTGTATAAACAGGCCCCGCAAACACACGATGGATGGTTGCACGGAGGATCAAAAGATGGTCAGGGGGGACCGAGTCAGACCCAAGGTGCTGGTAGTTTTCATGGCTCGCAGCCGAATCGTGGGGTGCAGAATGAAATGATTGCTTCTGCATACTATTCTCCTCCCAACCCAGCGTCCGGGTCGGAAAACACCGGCCATCTGGGCTCTGGTCTTTCTCCTCCCGATTCCACTTATTCCCACACTGCTCCGGTTGCTCCGGTATCCCAAGGCTTTGCCACTGGGAGCGAAGTAGACCCTGCCCACAAACCGGAGCAGTCAAGGATGTCGGACCGCCTAATTGCTGAGGAGCGTGTGGGACATAAGGCGGGAGGTGTCAATTTCCAGCAACTCCTCGACAACCTTTCTCGCCCCAACCCTGGTGCAACTATTCCCGTCACTTCTTCGGCTGGGCACTCGTCTCTCCACCAAGCGCCCGCTGGCGAGTCCCTCAAATCCCAGGGCATCCCCGCCCACCCTCAAGCCCAAAGCCACGATTCTGTCCAGGCCCATTATATGCCAAATGGCGAGGTGGCATATCACCAACTTCCGTCTGCCCATGATGCTGCTGCCACTGCATCGCCTGCCTACTCAGCCCAACCTAGTAATACCCAAGCCCAAACCCAGCCTCAGCCGATTGACACTTCTTCTTCTGGAGGTGCCTCGGTCAATCTACCTCCTCCTATTGCCACTTTCCCGCAACCCCCATCTACCTGTGCCGAACCTCATGGCTCCTTGCAAGAGCCTTCTGTAGCCTCCAAGAAAGGCCGTGCTGAAAAGCGGTCCATCAAGCCCGCTGACGATGATTCGCCATGGGGTCCAGAGATTCAAAAGAAATATGACGAGTTCCTGCACGATGAGCGGATCTATGTGACGGAAGGTCTTTGGGATCGGTTCCCCGTGGGCTCCAGGCTGTTTGTTGGTCAGTATTGTTTCCGCTTATGTCTACTCTTCGTCGATCTAACATTCTCATCATGTGCAGGAAACCTCCCTACCGAAAGAGTCACCAAGCGAGACATGTTCCATATCTTCCATGATTACGGCAAACTAGCTCAGATATCGATCAAGCAGGCGTACGGCTTCATACAGTTTCTGGAGGCGAGTTCTTGCCATGAGGCTCTCAGCAACGAACAGGGAGCCGTCGTGCGGGGCAGGAAGATACGTGAGTTACTGGAGCCATAGCTCAACAATTCTTCTCTCAAGGAAAGACCTAACCGTTCTCAGATCTTGAAATCTCAAAGCCTCAGCGATCGACGCGGCCCGCTCAAGCATCCGAAGATTCCCGTGCACCGCCACCACGTCGGTCCCGATCACCGGAGTTCAACCGTGCCCCTCCTGGGCGAACTAACGCCCGGGCCCCCGTCGATCGATACGACCGATCTAAGCCATATGAAACAAATCGGGTTCCATTCAGCGATTTCCGGGATGAGCCCTCTCACCGCAGTCGACGTGACGATTATCGCCCGCCGCGCTCACCATCCCCTCGACCATTTCGGGGGTCTAGAGATGGGTATCGGTCGCGCGATAGAACTCCAGAAAGATTTGATCGCCGCGAGCGAAGGCGCTCCCGCTCTCCACGTTCTTCTCGCTCTCCTTATTCCAGAGATCGACGTTACCGCAGCATCAGCCCCCGGCCACGTGGGATCTATGAAGGTGAGGCGGATTTACCCGTGCCTCGACGAGCTCAGCGAGATGTACCAGAGGTGCAGCTCCTCGTGCTGGAGGAACTCGATAGGTTAGTTGAATCCCTTGATGTCTGTTTAGACAAAGTCGCTGACATTGCGAAGAAACTTCGTTCTTCATGTAGAGAACGCTTTCCGCAACCGTGGATTACGAGTCGATGTCCTGGTGCTTGGTCCACGGATCCCTCTTGGCGCCGCTGTGCATCGTCAGTTTATTGAAGGCGTTCTTGCGGTTGTCCGCCTCTCTCGTCCGAATCAAGTCTCTCGAAAGATTCCTCTGCAACTATTTGATCGAACCGCTGGATTAGATAACGTCCGCTTCCTTGGTAAGCGCATTCTGTGTTCGCCTCTTCATCGACGCCTTGCTCATCTTTCTTTCCCATATAGATTACCCTGAGCTTGAGCCTAATATGTCTGCTGAGCTCCTGAGCCACCAATCCCAAGCGATGCAGCGAGGAGCAGCCCCAACCGCATTTGCACCCAACCCTGGTTTCATTATCCCTCCAGCACAGCCCATGTCGGTTCCTCAACCTGGCTTGTCTGCGCTTTCGAATCCACCCAACATTGCGAACCTCATTAGTTCACTGGATGGCCCTAGTCTTTCAACTCTCTTATCGGCACTCCAGCGACCTCCCCATTCGCAACCTGTGTCTGCTACTCAGTCGCCCTTCTCCTCACCGAACCCACCTCCGGCCGACCTCGCCAGTCTCCTGACCAACGCACATCGGCCCCAACCCATGCAAACTACCGCACAGCAACCCCTTCCTCACCCACCCTTCAATCTCCAACCTGTAAATGCACCCGTCATCACTGATCCAACCTTACTCTCGTTCTTGGCCAAAGGACTGGGTGGACAACAGCAGCAGGGCCAGGGACCCGTCGGTGCTCAGGTACAGAACCTGATGCAGCACCTCGCTAAATGGAAGCAATGATTTCACGACTCTCTTATTGCCTATCATTCTCATTCGAACTTAAGGTTCATCTTGTCATCATTTTCGGAGCCTGGCGTTCTTGCAATCCCTACTTGGTGGATTTTAGTGCTCTGCTTCGGTTCCTTTTTTTTCTGGCTGGCCGAAAACCAGTTCTTGCAGCACTAGGCGTTTCCTTTGCTTTTCTTTTTTGCTCTTTGCTTTTCTCATGTGTCACAAATGCAGTAAGATATTAGGTAGATATTAGGGCAAGGCGGTACCTAGGATGGAGTTGATATGTCTTTTTCAATCATTGGACTCTTGCTCATTGTGAATACTGGTTTATTCCCCCCCCTTGGACATGATACGGATGTTTCCTGTATACTTATTTTCGGTTATATTATTGCTGGATATCTCTCCATTTGACATCAAAGCGTGTGCTCAGGCAGAATGAGTCAAACTTCAATCCTCCAGGTAATCTTGTAGATAAGTTCACGAGTTATCTACATATAGTACGCAAGTTGAGAATCTTCCGGGGGCTCTCAATGCAGTCTCAACACCAAAGCCCTCCCATATTCCTTTATTTGTTGCGGAGCAGAAGACATACAATGCAGTCTCAACACTTCTGTTTCTCTCGCGTCTCCTTTTACTTGGCTATACAGATAGATCACTGCAGAATTGTATGCGAGCTGGTCTTCCGTTACCAGGGAATAAAAACCCAACATGCAATATATAGTTACAAGTATGTAGTCTAACTCGACTGCTGCCGTAAACAGTGATGAACCCTCGACCTTAAAGTATGGGTTATACGGGGTATAGGACGGAGCAAGCAAAGCACCCCAAGCTTGCAGCTTCTAGCAATGTACCTAGGTCATCATGGTACGTGATAAGAGAGGATATGCTACATATTGTACAAAGGTTACCGACAAAGTCCCCCTGGCTTCTTATTTCGGATTCCAACCTTTCTCCTTCAACTCCTTCACCTTAGCCGCATCCTCATTTTGAATGCGCTCGATCGTCTTGTCCCGGTTGAACTCCATCACACGCTTTTCCTTGAAGTATTTCACCTAGTAGACGCCAAGAATCCCGAGTCAGCAATCTGCCAATGGATAGATGTAATGTAGAGAAAGCTAGGAAACACCAAGAATGGCAGTTATGAGTAGCAAATCAAAGATCCCATCATACGTACCCAGCTCTGTGAACATGCCGCCTCAAACTCCGCGACCTCGTTCGCGCACTTCTGTCGTGCCTTCTTATCATCTTTAATAGCGTCTAGGATATCGTTCTTGTCAAGGCAGGCGAAAAAATGATCACGGCCTTCCCAGCAGCGTGCGCGACTCGTTCGGTCTGGGGCAATGCGGCCGCCGTCGGAGGCTGCGTTCTTGTTTGAATCACCGGAAGACCAAGGTAGCCAGACCATTATGGAGAAATGGTTATGTCGGAGAGGGAGCGGGTGAGAAATTGAGCTGTCAAGTTCAAAATAGTAGAGTCTTCTGTGGTTTGTAGCGAGTCAAGGTGTCGGTGACGGCAGATGCCCAGATGTTGGCGGGTCAGGCCTGTGACCGCCAAGACTGTTGATCCCAAGCAGGCGATCTTCATCTCCGGACCCTTTCTCACTTACGCACTCCACGTTCTGGAGCTTACATATAATTTTGAGGCCTCTAGCACTAAATACTTATCGTCCCTGGATCTCACTTGGAACACCCTCACCGCATTGCATGTTCCCTTCCCTTCGCCTCCACCGTCTTACCCGAGCCTCGAGCCTCGAGCCTCAAGCTCAATCCGACCTGACACATCGACCTTGAACCAAGTTCGCGAGGGTGACAAGAGCCCCCAGTTTCTATTTAGTTGATGTCCGCGCGCCGACGTCCGCCAGCGGGGTCACGCACCGAACTCCCTCCGCTGAAGATTGTCCGCAAGATCCTCTTGCTGCAGCTCGCTTACTATGCCTGCGCCACGGTGCTCATCCTGTTCACGACAGTTGTCTATGGCGCCCCATTCTCTCTAGACCTAGTCTTTGGCTGGGACTCTCTGCGCGGTGATACGACCCTTGGATGGATGTTGGGGTTGGTGTGGATGTTGAATTGCTTTATTAGGTGAGTTGTCCGCTGAATTCCACATCGTGAGCAGCATTTCGATCAGCAGCTAATTATAATCTCCTCTCGGGGATGCTTAGCGTCATGTTCCTACTCGTTTTCGTATCCCGCTCAAAATTGGTCCCGGATTTCGCCCTGACGATCCACTTCCTCCACCTCATCGCCACTACTTTATACACCCACTCCCTCCCTTCAAACCTACTCTGGTGGGCGCTTCAATTCGCCAGTGCATCCATGATGACGTTCCTTGGCATGTGGGCATGCCAAAGACGGGAGCTGGAGCCTATCAAGTTTGGTGGACATAATGGCAGCGCCCAAGCTGGCTCGTCGCCACAAGCATCTGCCGGCGATGGTCAGCAGGAGTCGAGCTTTGGCCGCGGCCGCGGCCGAGAACGTAGCTTGCAAGAATATGAAATGGATGATATGAAGCACACGGGTGAGCATGCTGTATGATTTCGCATTCGCTCGCCCCCTCGCCCCATCGTTGATGTTCCCCGTTGGGGCGATGAACGACTTTTTGTTGCCCTGTTATATCATTTTTTTTCTCCTTCTTGCGCTTCGGTCTATCGTGGACTCTTTGATGCATTTTTTCCATTCTGTATACCCTTGCGGCAGTTGCATCTGTATAGATGGCGTTTGTTCTGAGGGAATTGATTTCCATATTCTTTTGTTCGATACCTGTTTACATTAATATCTGCTAGCTTTGTATTATTCTTCTCAGTTGGATAGTCTGACGGGCTATGCCTATGAAAAACTCGTGTACAATCTCTACTTCTCGAAAGCGATATTGTCTTGAAATGCTTTGAACCGAATCGGAAATTGTTATATATTGCTCACACCTTACAGTAGAAACCTTCCGTTTGTCTCTTCGATAAGCAAATCATACTCAGGCTGGAATTCGGTATAGAAGTTGTGCTAAAAATTGTCAGCGTACATATTCTCAGGTGCTTTGGCATATATGTCTATTCCACTTACGGGATTCTGAGCAGCATCGGCGGTGAACTTGGCCGCTTCATCCTTGATGATCTTCTTTGGAAGACCATTGGCTGCTGCTGCTTCCGCAAGAAGCTGTGACTGACAAGCATTCTCTAGCATAGAGTAGAGGATCGCGGCTTCATCAACAGTTCGACCGACAGTTAGGAGGCTATACATGAGTAAGGTTAGATAGAACTAGACGCATATAGAAAATGCAATGGCGAAAATCGACTCACCCATGGTTTTGCAAGATACATGCAATGTTTTCCTTGCCCAAGGCCCTTGCAATCGCCTTTCCTTCCTCTGCCGACAGAACAATGCCGCCATGGTCTTCGTAAACACCCACTCTGCCAAAGAAGTTGCATGCGTCTTCATCCAGCTTGTTAGCACAAAGCCAAACCCCTAATACGACTCCAAGTGTAAAAGGAAAAGCCACCAACCTTGTGTAAGCATCTCGATTGGCTTTCCAAATGAACTCCACGTCTTTCCATGAATACCATGCGTGTGCGCCGCAGCCACAACATCTGGACGTGCTTTGTGGATCTCCGAATGAATCAGGAATCCAGCTTCATTAACAGGCAGCTGAGCTCCACCGTCGACGACGAATCCATCAGCATCCAGAAGAACGAGATCCGAAGCCTTGATAGTCGAGAAATGTTTGGCGAACGGATTCATCCAGAAATGGTCCTTGAGGATTGGGTCTGCAAGTCGTCAGAATATTCTTGCTCCCATAAGGTATATTTCATTTAAACAATGTGTCTGTATCAAACCTACCTCGCATCGAAATGTGCCCGGAGACACCCTCCCCATACCCTAGCTTGCCAAAGTACCGGAATGCAGCAGCCATGTGCTCCTTCATCCACTTGCGCTTCTCGGTCAGATCTGAAAATGTGGGAATACCGCGGAGTTTCAGAGTGCCATTTCGGCCTCCACGAGCTAGGCCCTGGAACGATGCATCGTTTGCCGCTGGTGGTAGTGGGGGTAGTTGGTCTTCATTGGTCAAGCGAACAGACTGCACTTGCTGTGTTATTGTTGTAGATGTCGACATGATGAAAGATTGTCTTGATTTACCGCACTAACTCGGGGACTGGGCCTTTTAATGACGAGAGTTCGAGGTCCGGTACTCGGGCTAACCTCCGAGCTCTTATCTATGGGGGACCCCGCTCTGTCGTTGGAAGGCGCCGGCAGCAAATTGGAACAGAGGCTTGTCAACATTGAATGCGTCTGGATTATTTCGGATTTGAAATCAAGTAAATATTGGCTCTAGCGGCGTATCATGCCATTGTGATAAGATTATCAGATTGGTCAAGGTTTCAAAGTTGGTTCTCTGCCTCTGAATCCCCGAATTTGCCTGCATTGTCAATATACACCGGATTTCAGGCCGCGCGAAATAGCTTCCCCTTTCCCTTAGTGCGCACCCTTGGTCGCTCTTTACTCACTGAGTATGTTGTAGAGCTGAGCACGCCCCTGTGTATCGTAGCCATTAAGCTCGCTGAGCATCACCATCACCTGATCATTATATAAGCCGGATACTTGCATACGCGACTATCACATGACATTTACTATCCTCAGCCGCAGGACAGCAAAGTCCACTAGACGTTTGGACTCCCGTTAGGACTAGATAGTCGCTTATCCTCCGGTTCTTGGTGTAATATAGCTTCGAAGACGACATAATCAAGATAAGTGAGAGCTCCATGCTTGAACCGATAGCATAGGTAAATTGTTCATTTGATGTATTTCCTTTAGACGATGCGTAGATCTACAGAGAGCTTTAGGAAATATGATTATATATATATCTCGAGGCGGTGCTGGCCTCTGGGTGATAGGAAACAAAGTCGATATTTCTGTTTGTCTAGCCTTTTATCCAGCCTAGAGACGATATTGCCTGGTTTTCCTCGGGGCTTCTGAACCACTTGCACGCACAATGAAGTCGCAGCCTCTGATGGTGACCCTCTCACCACTCTTACGCCCTCGCATTGCAACATCCAGCCCATTAGCCATTGAAGGCAAACCACCACTGGCTGGTCCCAATGCATATTTTATCTCCCATTGGCCATCCGTCCACTCTTCTCTTCGCGCGCTCACCTCCTCGCCAGTGATTTGAACAACCAATTCTCCAAGGGATGTTCGCCTAACCATGTGGATCTGCTTCTGATAAAGCACCAAATAGGAGCCCCCAATTTGTGCCAGAAACGATTTGGTAACTTGGTGCTGGCCCTCTTCCAGGACACCCTCATGAGACTCCAAGATCCACGAAAGACCACGCCCTGGCCCATCTGGCCCTTTGCGAAACGGAACATACCTCCACACCTCTTCATAATCCGTCATCACCGCTCCGGGTACATCTGGTCGAGCCATGGTCCCAGTCTCCAAAACATCTCCATTGGGTAGCGGGATGAATGGACATGGGTTGCTCACGTTGAAATTATGGTGGGAGTCAATCTCATGGGTGAACACCACGCGCCCTGTGTTAAGTTAGTCGTTTATTGTGTGATGCACCATGGTCAGGAAATCCGATTGAGATCATACGCGGGTCTTTGCTTTCCTGAACACATTCTCCTGCGAGGGCCCAGTCGATTTTGCCGGTTCTTTTATCGACTCGCAGATCGACGTACCATTCGCCAACCATTATCACCAGTGTGTCGGTGGTTTCGAAGGGTGTTTCTGATGCCCATCGCATTGAGATTCGTGTCATTAGAATCGATTCCAAAGCTGGGACAGATGAACTTGACATTTTTGGGATGATTGCTCAGGATGTCTACTAAGAACGGGCGTGAGAAAAATTGACAGGTCAAGGATGGTACAGGGTAATCTGCATGATTCAATTGGAAATATAAATACTTCAAAACAAATATGCTAACATGTTTCCGATCAAAGTGTTTATCACAATCTCCAACTTCCAAGAAATCCGACGCCACGCTCCCCAAAGTCTCGCTGGCGGTTGCCGTTTTCGCGGACTGAGATAAATGACTCACTTAGTTATTCATCGAAGGTCGAAAAACTATTCACACATTTAGTCATTATAAAGATGATAAAGAAATCCTTAATGAAAATGTGAAATACCATCCCGTCCTGATTCTATCGCCGTCGCCGCTTGGCAAAGTGAAACGCAATGACTTGGATTCTGATCGCTGCTTTCATAGTAGCCTTTCTTGTCTACCAACTCTCAGTTTCCACTTTGTTTAGCCCTCTTGCACGAATTCCCGGCCCAAAGACTTTCGCCTTGACCAAGTTCAAATTAGCCTATGAGGACTACAAAGGAACTCGCACGCGAAAGATCAATGCTCTCCATCACCAGTATGGACCTGTCGTTCGTATCGGCCCCAGTGAGGTGACCTTCAACAGCACATCGGCCGTGCGTGCAATCTACGGCGCTGGAAGTGGGTTTGAGCGAACTGGCTTCTACCACATGTTTGAGGTTTACGGTCGAAAGAACATGTTCTCGTTCGCGACCACGAAGCAGCATGGAGAAAGGAAGAAGCTCTTTGCCCACGCCTACGCCAAATCTGCGATGCTCAAAGGACAGAATGCACAAATGGTCGAGCAGAAAGTCAAACTGTATATGGATCTGTTGGAACGAGATGGGGGGAAAAGCGAGATCTTTTCTACCTTGCACTATTTCTCCCTCGACACAATCACCGAGTTTCTTTACGGATCTTTCGGCAAGACTGCATGTCTCGAGGGACAGAGACAAGATTGCGCACTCATTGGAGACATCATCGATATTGCCCGCCGCAAGCTATCGTGGTATGCAGTTCACTTCCCCCACTTCACGGAATGGCTCTACTCCAGGACCGGAGTTACTGGCTGCATTGCGAAACGGTTTTACCCGATGCAGATGCCAACGACGTACAGCGGTATCAGACTTCACGCGCTGAAAGCCACTCAGAAATATGCCAGTGCTTCTGCCAGCGCGAAAGCGAGCACATCGGCCCTGATATCCAGACTGTGGAGCCACCACCATTCCCAAAAACCAAATGGACTAGATGATCTTGATATTGCATCGGAATGTGCCGACCATCTTTTGGCAGGCATCGACACCACCAGCGACACACTGATGTTTCTGATTTGGGCTCTTTCTCGACCAGAAAACAGACAATTCCAAGACAAACTCATTGAGGAAGTCTGCAATATTACCGAAGACTCGCTCGATTCGGATGGCATTCCCAAAGTCGAAAACAGCGACAAGCTTTCTTACCTCGATGCAGTTATCAAAGAGACACTACGCCTCTACGCACCTCTCCCCGGATCAGAGCCACGCTCACTTCCCACGGCAACCACAATTGATGGCTACACGATTCCACCTGGGACGGTGGTTTCTATCTCCCCATACGCGCTCCATCGTAACCCTGACGTTTTCAAAAATCCCATGAAATTCAATCCCGACCGCTGGTTGGATCCTTGTGAGAACTTGGCAGAAATGAAGAAATGGTTCTGGGCATTCTCCAGCGGTGGAAGGATGTGTATTGGCATGCAGTATGTTCTTTGTTTCCGTGGAGTCGACTTCCAGTCGTGACCATGAAAGATGGCTAACGAGAAGCAGTCTGGCAATGGCAGAAATGACTACTTTGGTCGCAGCCATATACCGAAAATACAGAACCACACCAATGGGGGATTTTGACACTGTCTCCCCTGGTATCACAGGTCGCTATGAGGTGTTCTACGATGATACTTGTAGTCGAATGCGGGTATGTTTAGCTAACATATTTCTCTCGAAGACTCACTAATCATGGAGACAGGAACATGAATGTCAGATTGAATTCACGCCACATTAAGCAATTTAGGGATATTTATGTGGTCGTCTTAAGTATGTAGTTGTTGTGCCATGTGTTTTGATTTGAATGGGCTCGCATCATATTGGGGCTTCACAGATTAGATGATGATTGAACCCTAAATTTTATTATTTGAAATTAAAAGAATTACATACCATTTTCTCGCAGTTTCTAATCTCAAATTCGTTTTCTTCTGTGATATTGCAACTACTACTACTAGTACTATCTCAATATCTCCACCTGGCCGATCTTGGCAAGAACCCCACGATGATTGTGGAAAGAGTCAGCGAGACAGCATGTCTCATTGATCGGATTTGCAGGATTTGCTGATCTGTTTTATTTGGTCTTAAGATAGCGCTAAATTTATAAAGAGCAATGGCTGCCCCCAATTCTACTCATGTACAACGTTTTGAATTTGTCGAACAATCTTCAAAATGCGCTTCACTACTTCCACATTATCTCTTCTTTTGCAGGGCGCTATTGCTTTGAATATCGGCCCAGAATATAGTCATCCGATAGAAGGTCAGTCACGCAAGGTGACCCAAAGATCAACGTACTAAACAGACAATAGATCTCGACGTCGATCTTCCATTCTCTCAGCCAGTCACATTTGCCCACCTAGAATGGCAAAGATGTCTCGCAGCATCTCACAATAATGTATGCAGCCAAAACATTTGTTTACCAATAATTCCACAGAGACCTAACCTTCGCAAAAGCCTCTTGACATCGCCATTCTTGGCTTCCCCTACGACACCTCAACATCATATCGTCCCGGAGCAAGATTTGGTCCTCGAGGCATCCGCGCAGGATCGGCGCGTGAGAAGAAGGGCCGAAGCTATAACACCGTGTGGGAGGTGGATCCATATGAAGAGGGACTTGAAATTGTGAGTGTAGTGCATTTTAAATCGATGAAGTTTATGAAATGCAATGTCGGGATCGCTAATCCATCATTAGATTGACTGTGGTGATATACCCATCACCCCATTCGATGCCGCGCACGCTTTCAAACAAATGGAGCAGGGTTACAGACAGGTTCTTTACCACCCGACGTCCGAGGAAAACTCATGGGAACATCCTCGGATCGTGAGTCTGGGTGGAGACCACTCGATTGTCTTGCCTATCTTGCGATCATTGAAACATGTGTATGGACCGATCTCCGTTATTCACTTAGATTCGCACCTCGACACTTGGGATCCTTATGAGGGTTACACTGGAATCGCGTCCAACCAGTCGGCAATTACACATGGAACTTTCTTCTGGCATGCGAGTCGGGAGGGCTGTATTGCCAAGGGGACGAGTGTGCATGGAGGTCTAAGAACGAAGCTTTTTGTGAGTTGTGCGTGGCTCTTGTCGGGAATGAATACTAATCGGAATTATCAACAGAGTCCTAAGGATTACGAGATCGACCGAAATGTTGGATTTACGATTATCGAGGCCCATGAGATTGACGATATCGGCATGTCCGGGATCGTTAAAAAGGTCCGGAGTGTTGTCGGGGATACTCCGACTTATCTTTCCATTGATATTGACGGTGAGATTGCCCTTTCCTCTATCTAAGACACAGCAGATACTAATCCTCAACTAGTCCTCGATCCGAGCATTGCCCCTGCGACCGGAACTCCTGAATCGGGCGGATGGACCACTCGTGAATTGAAGCGATTCATTAAAGGCCTTGAAGGTGTGAATCTCGTTGGTGCCGATGTGGTGGAAGTCAGCCCACCATATGACACCGTTGCTGAGACTACTTCTATTGCTGCTGCGGACTTGATCGTTGATATTCTGGCTTCCATGTCGAAGTTGAAGACAGGTCCTAAGGTGAAGGCGCCAAGTTCAAGAGATGAGCTGTGAGCAGAGCTTGACATATGTTTCAAACTTTGAGATTTCAACCATGTATGAATCACGCTATATGAGACTTTGCTTTCAGATAGGCAAGACCAACTTGCCCGATTGTTTGAGCGCATCTCTCCAGTTAAGCACATTCTCATCTAAATCCATGATGTTCCAGATTTCCTGTATGACTTTCCATTGCCTTTTGAAATTGCCCATTGAGTACCTCTGAACTCGCTCCCACCATTCAACCCAAGGTTGTCGATCGATCGCCTCGCATGCAGCGATAAATGCTGGCCAAGACATAGGAGCTGCGCGTTTTCCGTCACTTGAGTATACATCTTTAAGGTCTTCTGCCAGCGAAAGGTTCTTCCAAATTGCCCCTACTTGCTGCTGAAGATCCACCGGGCTGGAGTCTTCAATTGCTCGATAATAAAAAATTGCGATCGCGCTGTGAAATGATAGAGCCTGGCAACGTATTATCTCAAGCATCGTCGGCTGCTCTAGCATGACGTGATGGAAAGACTCGGAGTCTATATCCCACGAAAAGATTTCATCTTTTAATGCCGAGCATGCCTCCAGCAAGATTGTTGGCACTTCAGCACCCTGGTAGAAGGCTAAATACTCGGCCACCTGACAGGTCCTTTGTAGAAGATTCCCCAGATATGGGGTAATCCCATACATGTATTGGATGTTGGTGTCGTCGTCGTGGAAGTAAGGCTGCTCAAATAATGGACCTTCTGTTGTCCATTGTCTATGCTCTAGCTCGTGTGCTGTCGTTCGAGCCAGGAGGCTTAGGAAATGGCAAATACTGCTAACCTGCCGACTGGAGTCATTGGGTGAATCGGACGCACGGCCTGGTCTTTCCAGCTGACGACAACCCTTGAGATGAATTGGAAAATCTGAATCTTCTCCCGTCATTGTCTGATTTGTTAGATTTAATAAGCTTTTTTATAACGTGGAGCGAAAGCTACCTACATCGATTGTGACCAAGGCCAGCATTGCCGTGAGATAGACTGTATATTTCTCAGAGTCATTGGGCGTTATGAGGGCAGTCTTGAGTGCTTGTAAAGCTTTGGCCCGATGCTGGAGACCAAGTTTGTGGTATTCTCGTGAACCACCCATGATGTTCCGGAGGTGGAATGCAGCCGATGATAATATACTGTGGAATAGTGAAATCGAGACTTCCGAGGAAGGCACCGGATTTTGGACGAGACAGAACTCAGGGCAGCCCTCGAGGGCGAATGGGAGATATGTTGTGCGCCAAGGGTTCCTCGGATGGAAAACTGGTTGTAGGAGCTCCGCGACATGATTTTTGTAGTGATACATAAGCATTGACGTATTGTGATCTTTGAACAGAGGTATTGAAAGCTCCATGTCTGGTGATGGATATATTGTGAGTGACATTTTTCTCGAGTATGGTAATGTTGGAGAATTCGATGTATCCATCATGGCTATCACTGACTCCCAGTCTGAGGGGAAATCTATGAAATGGATTTCTGAATTAGGAATGACAGTGTCATTCGTAATTATTTCAAAATCTCCGCTGGACAAGTCAACTGTGTCCACTGGACTAGGAGCGATCTCAGAAGTACAGTCCTGAGTCTGATGACTGTTCTCCAAAGAAGCGTGAGGTTCGAGATATTCAATGCCGGGTTCCCGGCTGGAGAATATTGAAAAGGGCCCTATACTGACTGTGCGCGATGGTGTTGAGATTGTGTCAAGAGAGGATATCATTCGGTTGATCTCGGCATCCGAAATGCTAGGGGAAGTGGATTGTTCTTAATTATGATATCTATCAGTGAATGTGCCTTTGAAACAAGGCCAAGAAGAGGGTCGGAACTCACCTAGTCTGACCTGCCTGCGTCGTAGGCCTTGAATATCTCGCTTCTTATCTGTAATCCAGCACAGATTCACACCGTAGCCGGCGCATTCCAGGCGGGATTTCTGGCAAACTCGACACCCATTTTCTTGACGCTCATCACATTTGACCTTCCGAGACCTGCAGGTCCAGCATCTGTTCATGTCAGCTTGAAAGGTACGTGGAAGTTCGAATATAGTTGAAACTTGATGTATTACCCTGTGAATGTCACCGATTTCTGCTTTGCTTGGCGAATACGTTTGGTTTGTTTTCTAGGAGCTGTCACGGGGCCACCCATTGTATCGGTCTGACTGTCAATATGAGCAATGGGAGTCACCTTTCGATGGTCGTAAGGGTATCAGAGAGACCCGCGTTATGGCACAACGTGCAGTTGGATGGTCAAGACCACGCAGTTCTCGATAGTGGAGCTAGCTTGAGATACGGGGTCAGTGAGGACCAATAATTGCAGGTAATAGCCGATGATGTGCCCCTTGTGCAAAGATATCTGCTCTGGACCCCAAGACTGTGGGGTTCAAATATCTTGATTCCATGACATAACATATTTTGGGGATGAACTCCGCCTTATCAGGTTGGCAAGCCGAGGTCTTATCAATTCTTTATCAGTGTCTTATCTTATCACCCTATCTTGGATAGGCCTTTTGAAAAGGGAAGGAGCCAGCGAGAGCAAGTAATCTTAGACCAGTTGGACATGTAGAATGGACGTATTTTTAGCCACACCAGGATAATGGCTTTTGCGGCCTCTGCCATTAGTTGGGTTGATAGTAGTTCTTTAGATGTTTCTTTTTATAGATATCTTCTCCCTTCTTACGGTGGAAGAAGGCAAGAAAAGGCTTAATTTGGTAGACAACATTTCTATGTATAATCTTCGATTGATATCATTGGCTCAACCCATTGACAGACTGGCACGGAATGCTTCAGCCTATCTCAGTGCAACTCCACCTGCGGTCCTGTATAGTTCCCTTTTCCGTGCAATATCCACCACAGCGCCACTAACAACGTCAATCCACATGTGATCACACTGGTATAGTTCATATCTTCCGGGGATGTTGGCAGGGTATAAGGGAAGCAGTAAATCACAAAAGAGACAGCAATGTACATGCATGCGACAGAATTGACAACAGGGCCAATTTTCCCCATCCAAAATGGACCAGGGCGGATGTTCTTGCGTCCAGTTATCAAATGTGGAAATATCGCGAGGAAGTATGAGACTGTCGTCAGCAGCACAAACGAACCGATAAAGGCCGAGAAGGCAGTATAGGATCCCACATAAATTGCTCCGATACATGTCAGAAACACTCCGCATGCCAAAGTTGCATACAGTGGGCTATGCCATTTCGGGCTTATAGCCCCGATATGTTTGGAAAATGGCGTCGCGTTATCGCGACCCAGGACATAGAATGTCCTTCCTGCGGTAATATAGCATCCAATCGTTGCAATGAAGATGGGTACGATCGTGAGTGTAAGAAGCCCCACTGCACCTGCTCGGGAACCGGTTGCTTGCAAATAGATATCACCGAGAGGAGAGATAGAATCGGCGTTCACAATGAGGGATAGGTCGGTGACAGCATAGAATATGGAAATCAGATAGCAAAGACCAGTTGCGAAGCCGATGGTCACTTGGCAAGCAAGTGCTTTGGGGATATTCCGTCTCGCACTAGTCGAAGTGTCAGCGAAAGAAGCATTACCATAGACCGATATTGCCTACTCAGGAATCTCTTCTGCAATGTGAGTGACGCAGTCAATGGCGCCGATTGCAAATGCCCCGTTCAACATGCCTGCAAGGAATGTGAATCCGTCAGAGTAACCAGTAATGTTGTTCCAGTCTGTCCAGACGAATTCATTCGATGCATATCCTGCTCCATCCCTGCTTGGCATAATAGCACAAACTAAGACTGAGATGACAAAACCGACAATAATGAAGAACGATCCGATCCTGCTGATGACCGCGAGAGCCCGTTGGCAGAACATCACAGTAAGACAACATAGCCAGGTGATGATCAAATAGCAAACAAAAACATGCCAGCGCTGCGGTTTTACCTCTGGATGGTAGAGCGTGTATGAATAGACAATCATGCTTCCTGTCATGGAACAGTTCCCTGCTACGGCGAATGTCCATGCGAGGCCATTCAACCACCCTGCAAACCAGCCGCACAACCTGCCATAACGAGGACCAGCGGTTATTGTAGCCCAGTGATAAACGCCCCCAGATGCCGGAATAGCAGAAGCGAGCTCGGCAATTGATGCGGCAATGAAGCAATAGAAAAAGGAGGCAGTGGCGCTATCCTTCGTGTAAGCATCCTAGGAAAAACTTCCGTAAACGTGTGGGGACCTACAACTCGTATATTACTCCAGGTGGTCCACCATTGTAGAGTGAGGCAATCTAAGATGTTTTAGTAGTGCACAATTTGGAGAGAGTATCTGGTGCTTACAATTCCGCCTCCCAGGACCGCCCAAGCATTCCCGGTAGTGATTCCAGTTGCGCAAGCACTCAGGAGATTAAAGCTCTTCGCAAGTACAGGCGTGACCTGAGTCTCAGTAACCTCTTTTGTCGATCCTTGGAGGGAAGACTCGAGATCGCCAGGGTTTTCTTTGGTTTCAAACTGTGCCATGGCAGTAGACATGAATTGCAACGCAGTATGTAAGATTGTATATCACTCACATCTTTCGATGGAAATTGCTTTGGATATTTATGGCTTTTCTTTATCTTTACAGTTCCCTTAGTCCATTACAAGAAAGGCTTCGTCCCTTCAAGATATGTGAGAACAGGTCGCTGGCTCTTACTTGAAAACCAAGATGCGATTGAACCCGACGATAGTATTGGCTAAGAGATACTTTTATCTTTTGTCTCTTTTAGATATATTATATCGTATGTCGAATCAACCTACGGAGTACAAGCTAATTTCTCTTCGCTAGCTCTTGCCATACGAATTCATTTCTGATAAGACCTATGATTTCACAGTACTGCGTAGTGGCAACAAGCTGTTATCGAGAAAAATTTCCTATCACTATCGCGACCCCCGTGTTGAGTGGTAACGCATACCCATTCTACTCGCTGGCTGTTGCCGGATCTGGATATGCTCGCGGGCCTGATATTTCCCCACCGGACCGACCTATTATACATTATGACTGCCCGGTGAAGTTCATATATTCCGACTTCACAAATATAAAGCACGATCCATCCCTCTTACCCTTGGGCTCCTATCTAAAAAATCTCAGACTTGCAATATTCCACAAACATGGCTCACTCCCTGAGTAACCAATCTATCATCATAACAGGGGCCTCTGCACCATTTGCAGAGGCTTTTCGTGCCTGCTATGGCGGTAAGTTTAATTAGAAATAGAGAATTATATATCAGCTAACATCTATCAAGGTACCAAGAACAAGACTATCGCGGTCAACCTAGATCATCTAATATCTAGCAATTTGACCGAAGCTCAGGCTCAGGTAAACACCGCTTTCAGCGCTCTTGGGGACCGAATGGAGGTTCTTATCATCGATGCCAGAACGCAGCAGCCATATGGGCTAGACTCGATTTGGGAGATTCCGTTGAGTGAATGGGATCAGGGACACACATCCATGAGCTGTCGGAGGAAAATGCTGGTGCAGGCAAAGTTGTTCCTTCAGCACCAATTCCAGGTCAGCAAGTTGAAGGCCCATGAGAATGAACCAGGGAGCGGTTTTTCTGTTGTGGTCCTCGGTTATCAAGATCTCTTCGGTGTTTCACTCGATCAAGTTATTTCTAAACTCCAGAGAGACGTCTCACGACTTCACCCGGGTGCTTCTTTCAACTTCCTTGATCTTAGCACCTCAAGAGAGGCCTCTGTCGCGTCCATCGTCGCGGCAACAGCGACACTGGTCTCAGCGAAACCCACCTGTGGAATAATCTCGCTCAGCGACATTGCGAGTGTAAACCCCACTGAAAAGAGCAAAAGCGACAATTTCGTTGCTGAGAATACCCAGCTTTGCCAAAGTCTCCCCTTCCATCATAAGCACCCAAAGGTCAAAGTTGCTTTGTCGTTTGACTTTGACGCAGTCTCTGCCTTCCTGGGGACAGGACACCATCCAGACAACAACTTGGCAGACTACAGCACAGGCATATTCGCCGGTCGAGTGGGTGCCAATCGGCTACTGCGCATGTTACAAAAACACCAAGTAGCCGACAAAGTCACTTGGTTCATCCCCGGGCACACGATGGAAACCTTTGAAGCAACTGTCAAGGAGATTGTTAAGTCCGGTGCCGAGATAGGACTTCATGGTTATTCCCATGAAGGTGCCTACCAAATGACACCAAGTCAAGAGCGAGATGTGCTAGTGAAGTGCATGGAATTGGCCCAGCGGCTAACCGGCAAAAGAGTGCAAGGCTATCGCGCGCCCATGTACCAGCTGCGCGAAACAACAATCGAGCTTCTGAGGGAGTTTGAATTTCTATATGACTCCTCCCTGAGTCACCATGACTCACAGCCATATTTTACACCCAGCGATCCGCCAATTAAACCGGTGGATTTCTCCCAGCCGGCCAGTACGTGGTTGCGCCCCACGCCGCTTTCTGAGACGAATGCCCGCCCCGTCGGCCACCCACTTGTGGAAATTCCGACCGGCTGGAATAATGAAGATATGATGGCGTTACAGTACTTCCCGCATCTCGACAATACCAATGGGCAGGTTGATGCACGGGTGGTTGAGCAGAGATGGAAGGACATGTTTCTGTGGCTGTGGGAGAATGCAGACGTTGATGGGGGCGATGGAAGCTTTGTCTTCCCTATCTTGATGCATCCCGATACCAGTGGCATGTCCCATGTGATAGGGATGGTTGATCGTTTTGTAGGGTGGCTCCGGGGATGGGGGGACGCAGTTCAGTTTTGCACTTTTGAGAGTATCACACGGCAGTGGTTGGAAGAGCAGCAAAAGGCCAAATGAAACCGTAGGATATTGATTTATAGAAAATGAATATGTTTGTTTGTCTAGGTGATTAGAGGAGGAATCAGATTACTCCGTATATCTGTCTTTGATCGAGGTATATTGGATTCAGTTACTGGGTAGATCATTATATATCTATAGCTGCTTTCACACCCTAGAGACTCCTGGGATAAGCAATTATAATCTAAGTTCCCAATATGTAAGATTGCTCTAACTATATCGAACGAAGGCTAGCTCTACGTCTGTTTTAAAAGAGCTTCTACCCTTGAGAATGTTTATTAGGTATAGGTTCTCGCAGAAAACTCTACATTGGCGGAATCTCATGGCGAATCTTTAAATCACATCCTTTTTGATACCCAGTTAGCTCGTTTGGTTCTTCAAGAAAACATCCCTTGTGTGCTAGCATATAGCCTCCCCAATTTATAAGATCTTTCCCGAGCCTATAGTCTGTCGGTCTTAATCTTGACTGGACAACCGACGAGGGACTGGTAAATCTTTGGACTATTACTTCATAGTTGACAAAAGACTTATCAGTCACTACTATGGCCTTATGATCTTCTTGCCAACATTATTCGAGAAACTCATGGTTCTCAATCCTCGACGTAGATACTTGCCAGGCCCCTATTTAGTCCTTTGACACGCCATTATTCATTGTCACTGGCAACTTGTTTCCTTCCAGACTCGACCCATTCTTGCCAATGGTCTCTAAAACCTTTCCTGATCGGTGAACGAGGGGTGCGCTTCAGCAAAACCCACGGGAAAGAGCCTCCGTGTGTTGTCTTGAAGAAGGAGCCCTTGGGATAAAAGCAGTAGCTTCCACCTAAGAATTTCCTCTTGTCAACAATACACCTCTACTGCTCGCATCATTTGTGCTGCCGCTTTCTTCTGCTTCTTCTTTTTTTTTGATAAAGAAAACAAGATCTCCCCAATGGCAGATGCCCAGCCGCCGCGGAAGCCCTGTGTTAGTGTTGATCACCACTGCCATACCTTTCTTTCCTGCATCCCTCCCAATCCTCAATGCAATGATACTTCTACCATGACCATCATATTCCATATATAGACTGTCGGGATACGTACTAATATATGACAGGGCTTCTGCCACTTTTGCAACTTCCCTGGGCACACAGAGGAGAATTGCAACCGCCTGAGGGCATTGGGGTCACTGAACAGAATGTCCCTCTTCCCACTCCCCGTAAGACCTATATACCTGCTTCTGGGGAAGTTTATATTGACTCAAGATGTGATTGCTACAGAAAAAGCGCAAGTCGCACCGCATCTTTCGAGGCGGGAAGGCCAAGAAGGGCATGTCATGTTGTTTCCATGATATCTTACCCAAAATTAACTCTCACCTCACTCTCACTTAATCTCTCGCTTCATCTCATCTATTTCTCGCTCCATTCTTCTTTATGTTGCTGTCTTTCACTGCTTCATTGCTCCGTTGCCCTGTTGCTCCGTTGTTCCGTTTCTCCGTTGCTGTTGTGCCGCACAGAGGAATGGCTAACGTATGAACAGCCAAGACTGCTGCAGAGGGTACGTGTTCCCAAACAATTCTACGGAATAAGCCAACAAAATGCTGACGTACCTTGTGTGTTTAGCAGCCGCCTCCAAAGCAGCGCTCCTTCGGCAGCCACCACAACCATCGGTAAGCCAAATGCCGCTATACTCGTGTTTTACCGTAGAACTAAGTCCTGTCTTGATGTATTGAAGTGTGTTGCTACTCTTCGTTTGTTGCTACTCTGCGTCGTGTTGCTGTTTTGATTCCTATTTATTTTTCTTGCTACGCCGAACTGTCACTGTTATCGAGTGGTTGTGCTAACAGTTAATTAGTGGCCACCCCCTCCAACAAGGAGGAGAAGAAACAGGAGTGAGAAGTCTTGCCGGTCCTTTTTGGTTTTTAGTTTTTCCTTTTTGTTACCTGTCTCTGTTTCTTATGAGTCCGGGCTGTGGCTTAAATGCAATCAAGACCGGCGTGACCACTTTTAACCACTCATCTGCCGTAGAGAGTAAAAACACGTCTCAAATTCATGCTCCCATATCATTGGCTTTGATCTGAGCTATCATAAATTTCCATATGCCTGCTTAAAAGCACGTTATGCCCAATTTCGAACTTTCTGAACAACTTTCTTTCTGCTAAGCCAGGTATTTCACTCTCTTATTCTGGATTCTGACCCTATACACTCTACCTATGTGGCTCAGCCTAGTTGAGTTGCCGATATAGTCCGTGAACTCTAAATATACATAGCTAGCAACCTTAAAAATCCCGTGGGCTTCGTCTGGATGTTAGCTAATCAGCCAACTTCACCTGGGCACCTCCAGGCTAGGTAATCTTAGAAGCTCTAGAGAGGGACTAAGGACCTCAATTTTGAAGCGTAACTAGGAGAATTCATCAACTGTAGGGTAGTGGTTCGGATCCATGATTACACATGTACACGTATGCATACATAGGTAAACCTTGGGAGAACGTTCGCATGACACCTACACCGTCCACCATTTTCTCTTTCCACATTTTCCTCATTTTTACTCCTTCAAAACACCTCAATATGGCCGAGACACAAGATCAGCCTCGTGCCTTTTCTTGTTCAACAAGCCAGAGATCTTGAGCCTGACTTCCTTTCTCTTGAAGACTTCCAGAGGCTTGGAGTTCAAGCATTCCAAGTATCCCTGGCCCCGGAACATGGCGAAGGTCTCCAATTTGACCCGTGCTTCTTTCGACCACACCCCGATAAACTGTGTGAGAAATATCCAATCTACATTTACCACTTGGAAGATGATCCACGGGATATACAATTCACCACCTTAAATGATTACATACAGGATGCCCTAACTGAGCATTCCCCTGAATACGCTCCGATAATTGCGAGAATGGAATACGAGGAGGGTTTTGATGTTCCACCAGAGCGTGATTCATACATGCATGCCCAGGATGTAGAGGAGGCTATTGAGTCTCACATCAAGGCTGGAAGATCCGGACCGCATGAATGGTTCTCACTTGTAAACTTCAGAAAGAAAGATCAAGAACGTTGGAAGTAAGTAGACAGTCAAATATTGGATTATAGCATGGGACTAACAATTCCTAGCCCAAACCAAAGAGAAGACGACCCTCGTGTCTACGAGGGATTAGAAGATCCAAAACCGTGGCGTGTGGTCAATCATTACCGATACATCAGTCGTCCTCTTAAGCCGCATTCAATTATGTCGTGTCTCGCTCAAATTTGGCCTGATGGAAATCAGAGCCTCACTACCCACGAGTTGAGAGCCATCGTTAACATGATGCTTCTTCGAGTGAATCACAAACCGTTTCGCAGATGCCATATCCATCCAGTAGGTGATTTCCCATGTTTTACATGATAATGTCTAAGACCAATATAGATTTTGGTTCTCTCTTATATGGGTGGTCATCACGGCAGAATCATTCAGGCTTCGTATGATGGAAAGGGACTGATTCTATAATATTCGCATCTATGGAGCTTTGCGGATATCAAAACAGCACCGGTGGAATTGTTCGTCCGATACCGTTTAAGCAAGCCAGTTGGTGCTATTCGCACGTTGTCCCTTGAATAGCTACATGTTTAAATCCCTTTATTATGATAGAGCAGTTCATGAAGCAGTTGCTGAAGTAATGTTTGGAGCAGTTCTTGGAGCAGTTTTTGACGTGATAAAAGTGACTTAATTTTGTTAGTTTTTTATATACAAATTGTAGGTATCTACCGTCTTGCTAGAGAGTAAGCTGAATCCCGGTGTGACAGAGTCTAGCGACGTAATCTTTGACACCCGAATAATATAAGTGTTCGATATCTTCAAAATAATAGATGCTACTACAAATACTTATCGATATCTATCAATCAATAGTGGAAATTAGATTAAGTTGTTGTGGTTGAAATATAAAATTGTACTCTATCGCATAGGTAGCTCGCTCGGTTATGGTGGTGGTTCCGGGGAATGTATCAGGTGACTAATCAATGTCACCTGATCCGTTATCGGCCATGTGGGCTTCCTATCTCCAGGCCAATATCCCTCTCTCCTCCAATGACCAAGTCGTCTGATGTCAAAACATTGAGAGCCGCATTGAAGACATATTAATTCCAAACTCTACATTCCCCTGATTGGCTGGATTAAAAGATCTTCTCAAGTTACTTCATTGCTCTTCTCTTTTATGCAGCCCCATTGAGATAGACATTGGACTTGTCTAGACCCATCATGGTGGAAGGAGATCCGTCATACATAGACTATGAGGCCTTCTTAGACCCTGACTTCTCCCCATCTTCATTTGCCAATACATTGGTGACAAGCACAAACAATGCAACAGATACCCCGTTGGATTTATCAACACCATTGTCACGGGTGCTCTTCGATCTTCAGGAGATCGACACACACATCCATGCATTGACAACCAGATCAGCACTACCATTGCTTTCACACACCCAAAGCCAAACGGCTGCCGCTGATAATATCTTGAAAGAATCTGGGACGCAGATTGCTTCTGTGACTCAAGGGTACGAGCGCCTCCAAAAGGAGGTTGTACAAAAATGGGAAGCAGCTGACAAAGCTCGTGTTGCTGCTGAAAACTCGCTTGAAACTGTTCGCCTAGCAAGGGCAGTAGCGCGCTGCTTAACTCTGGGTAGACAGCTGGAGAGCCAGGTTTCTGAAATTACAGGCCGAGGGCCGACGCCATCATCAGGACCGGATGGAGCAACATCACCTGGAAAAGATGGCTTCCGCGCACTGGAGCGAGCAGCGTACACAATTCTGAATCTGCGCGAAATGTTCTCAGCCACGACACAGGGCGATGAAGGCTATGGTTTAGATCGGGTGAAAGCCATTCGCACTCTACGTGGAGAATTTGTAATTCCCGCGGAGAACATGGTCAAGTCAAGAGCACAACAGACCATCAGTCGATTTTCTTTGTCTTCCAACTCGGCAAGCGCCAATAGCCAGTCATCAATGCCATCTGGCTATAAGCAAGCTCGTGATGCCCGAGCACGACTGGCCACCGCTGCCATAACTCTATATCTTCTTTCGCCTCTACCAAAAGGCGCAAGCACTGCAGCCGACTACAAGCCAGAACTCTTATTGTCAACATTACAAGGGTTCATGCACACAGCGATCATGACATCCGTGAATGCCCTCGCCCGGGCTCTCACCCAGCTCCCAATCATGAACCAAACACTTGCCGACACCTCTGCACGATGCCAAGATATAGTTGCCTTGGAGAGCATTCTCAAAAACATCCGCCCACCACCACACCCTCTCTTGGCCTCCACTGCCACATCCGACGAACCAGCTCCCGAGTCCCAAACAGCGGCCTCGAACAAATATAATCTCCTGCAGCCTCTTCTCCAGGCTTTGGACACCACATCACTTCCTTCCTATTACTGGCGCTCCCTCGCCTCTTCTCTCGCGCCACGTGTCCAGGACATCGTCAACCGAGGCGGTGTTTCTTCCCGTACATTACGATCCAACCGTGACCGACTAAGAGTCGAGATCAAAGAGTGTGTGCTCCGTGCGTCGCAGGTGTCTGCTACCAGCCTGCTGGCCGAGAAGGGTCGACCAGGAACCGACACGATAGTGGTTGGAAATTGGGAGCGAGAAGCTGCCGTGATGGTGAGCTCCATTGTTGGTTCTCTGGGACGGTAATATGTGGCTACTGCAAGCATGGTGTACATGTTACCGACTCAAGATTCGGTACCAGATAGATGATGTCAATCGCATGGATTGACTACAGCTTTAATGAGAAATATAGTTGTATGGCATTATCTATCTAAAGTGGGATATTACACCCGAATCTGTTGTGCTCTGATATTTAGATGTGAACTAGAGATCCGGGGTTGATTCTTCCGTCTCATAGAATGAGAACAGTCGGCGAGGATTGGGAATACCACATAAAGCACTTAGTCACTCGACAAGAGAAACTAGAGGTCTTGAACATGATAGGTATCAGGGCCAGCGATGGTTTCTGAATATGGAACACGTTCTGCAGCCATTCTTCTGGGAGGACATTGAGACTAGCACAAGTGCTAATGGCTCTTGGTATATCGATGAGTCGTCTCTGTGCTTTCTAACATGAAGGAGAGTCATCAGTAGGCTCTTCATGTTCGTCGACGACGATGTACATGATATCAGTGTGGATTTGAAGAATTGCCTTGCTACCGTTGGTCATTATAGGAAGGTCGGCGATGGATGACGTAACGATAATAAGAAAATACAAACTAATAGCCAAGCTAAGGGAGGCGTTCGTACCTTCCCAGAGGGACAGGACGTTCCACGGAACCGATCGCGTGGCGACGGATAACAATTGCATGGTATGTTTTCGGTGTTTCGGCGTATCCTCGGCATCCATGTCGCCGTGCTCTTGCCAGACAACAATTGTCGTTGTGTGGGTCAATGTTGCCACGGGTGCGGATTGTCTTTTGAAGATCTTCCGGGTCCTCTACAGTACGTCCCGAAACTGGTGTAACCACTATACTCTTCGATTGACTTCCCTGCCCCTTATGCCAAGATGCACTAGTCTACATTTGGAGTTCTTCTGGTAGTTGCGTGTGTATTTCACCGTACGTATGTTACATAGTAATTTCGGGCATGTATTTAATTGAAATTTCAATATATCTGATACCTCTATGCCCCTCCTCCGAGGCAGCTTTCCTTAGGAGGCGCACTTAACAATCTATCACAAGTGGTCTAACCAAATATAGCTCAAAACCTAGCCCCTTCCGAGCATGAGCTTATCTATGATATGATTCACAGTGGCGAACTATCTATAACTTAGATGGCACAGGCCGCTAGTTATAATAAGAGTACTATCTCGAGAATCTCTTCTAATATAAAAATGTTTGGTAGCGTTAAGGTACCTCTAAATAAGGGCGGACGACCCTGTAGTATTACTCTAGTCATGCTCGAGGCCTTGTGCGACCATCTGATTGAAAAGCCTGCCTTGTATCTAGACGAATTCGCTCTTCGAGTAATGAAATTGAGCGTCAGTTGCGCCCTTAAGTCTAAAGGCTGGTCAAAAAAGACTGCTCGGGTTAAGGCACAAGAACGCAACCTTGACCTTCGGGACGAATACCATTATTTTATCTTAGACTTCAAGTCTTACCACCTAATCTATATCGATGAATCTGGGTGTGATAAAAGGATAGGCTTCCGGCGAATAGGTTGGTCCCCCCTTGGTACTGTACCTGTTTAAGTATCGAAATTTCATCGTGATCAGCATTATTAGATTCTGCCTACGTATGTATAAGATAGCATGGTTTTATCTCGAGTGTTCTAGGGTTTAACTGATATATCTGTCTTTAAGGATTTTATTGAGCAGCTCCTCTAGCATTATAGGAAATGGCCTGAGCTAAAGTCTATGCTAGTGATAGTGCATAGATAACGTATCCTTTTATCACTTAGATAGAATTAAATAGATATACTTAGAAGCTGGTATAAAGCTAGTATATTTGCCTCTAGATTCTCCTGATTTAAATCCTATTAAGGAGTATTTTGCTAAGCTAAAGGCGACCAAATAGTGTAATTTTATTACCGCATTCGTACTTCACTTCCTAGTATACATGCGAACATACAGCCGAGTAGTAGACATACCAACCGCAAGGACAACTACTGAGATTTTGAGGGCTGTCGACTAGACGATTGCAGACATCAGTCCCCATTTGATTTAGTGAGATTTGCGTAGCCATATTAAGCGGAGGGCTTTAGGCGGAGATATAAGAGTAGGATGGTTAAACGAAATCTTGATAACAATCTAAATCAAGCAGGAATTTTCAAAGCAAGGAGTATATAAGAATTGACAAAGATGAACTACTTCGAACATAAACCTTGGATATAGCTGTATTACTTATAGTAAACTTCCGAGTATACTAGTTTTAGTTTATACAACCCCAGTCACACTTCGAGTGTTTGATAACAGCGCTGAGCCTCAGATATTATAAGTATCATCTCGCGCGCAGGAATACGCAGTCAAATGTGATTCCCATGTCTAACAGACTAACTGAGAATTTAACTAATACGTACCACAATCTAAGCGCTTGGCTTATCTATTATAGGGCTTCAAAGCGCATAGGAGGTTTTCGAATTACTATTAGACAGGTGATACTTTCAAGACACTTCAAAGTGGGTATAGATATAACAAGGGGAAAGGGGGGCTTATTGCCAGTTCGTTCACATGACCTGGCCCGTGTCTCTATACAAGGAAAACGAAAATCATCCTTAGGTCGAAATTAGTCGCTCCCACATTGGAGATACTTTATACAGACCACTCGTCTTAGGATTCCATTTTGCCATGATCAACCCTCAAGACAGATTCTGGTCCAAAGGCCAGAAACTACCGCGGCCCGAGCGAAAAGCCCTCCACCGAAACATATTGCAACGTCTGGGACTGGGATCAACTTCGGATGGTCAAGGTCAAAGGCACCGCCAAACTATTCCCGCCCAAAGAGGATAGGAAGCTCTCGATT